AGTCTGCTGCTGATGTGAAAAGCAAGCCGGCAATAAGCATATACGACTTGGTGATAGATGTATTTCAGATAGTCAAAGATTCTTAATTCTGTAAATGAAACACTAAATTATGTTGAAAATTAAGCATTGCCGTTTGATTGAGTACATTTGAAGGTTGCTTAAAATCAAGCATGTTCCAGGAGACTTTGGAAAGCCGGGTGGATTCTCTTAGCACCACAGTTGTTGATATTCTTCATATCCTTCACATCTTTCCTTAAACCCATGGTCTTTTTCACTGAGGTTTAGTAAAGGTGGTTAGATATAGGACCTGATATTTTCTTCTATTTAACCTGCTGCCCTTGACTCCTCCACTGAAACTTGACTTTGCCTGAGTAAGCTGACTAAGCAGCTGTTAAGCGCCCTCCTCCTCCTCCTCCTCCTCCTCCTCCTCCACCCGCTGCCTCAACACAGGTCAAACTCTGTCACTTACTGTTCTTCAGCTTCTCGTTGATGACAATGACCAGCTCGCCTTTGGACTTGCTGCGGGGGGGGCTCGTGATGACCGGGCTGCTGCTGCTGCTGCTGCTGAGGATGAGAGGCTCAGCTCTGACCCCCGGACATGGCACAGAGACGGGGGCTTGGCTCGACACCGAGTCCTCCTGGTCCAGCAGCGACGGCTGGTCCTCCCCGGCCCAAATGGCAGGAGCTGGCGTCATGTTCACAGCCATGCTGTCAGAGAGTGAAGCCTCTTGTTTGTGGTCCATTTCTGTGTGTGCTGCCAGTAGTTCACCTAGGGGTCAGAACATGGGTTTAAGCATATTTGTAAACAGAAGGTGCTACACCCCCCCATCTGCTTAGGGAGTGTCCACAAATCATTGTGGTGTTGTTTTTGCTGAAAATGTGTACTATTTCCTTTTTAAAATAGCAGTGTTTTGTCACCCTAAAATAACATTATATTTCATTTCAACAACAAAAAATTGTATATTCACATAAAAAAGATTAAACACTAGTATTAATGGTACATTTTGCAATACAACAACAATGCTCTCTCTGTATCAGGGGCTTGGAAAGCTAATCAAAAACCACCGAAGGATAAGATCAATGGAGGCTCAAGAACCAAAATAAAGGGATCTATTACATTTCTACGGAGCACATTGATATATTTGGCCAAGAGTAGCTCCTTCTCACCCGAGAGCAGATCTGAACCCTTTCACTCATAGAGGCTACTACAGTGGACAGCTTTTCAAAAGGTCTTTTCTTGTATGCATTGATTTTTTTTGCATAGTTGCACTATCAGCCACTACATAGGTGGAAAGTCAGTGTAAGTGCATGATACATTTTTCTAAACCAAGATGGACGACAGAAAGCCAGATGGACCGAATCACTCCTCGATATCTTGCCAATCCTTTTATGGAAAGCGCCCCCTGCAGGTATAACAATGTTGGTGACATCAAGTAACAACTAAGGAATCAAATAATTCATAAATTGTCAAAGTATTGATTTTATGTTTGTAGGAAATTATGATTAATCACCCGTCGTGTGTGGACGTCATGCATCACTGGCTATATTTAAACTACAATTCATACTGTTACTGTTGTTCTTGAAAACACTTCATTTGCAATATCTTTTTGGGCCGTAAATCAATATACTTATGTTATTATAATGTAATTTTAAGTTATGTCTTTAGTTCAAACGTTAGCACATATTGTCTACCTGAGTGGACACATAAATAAATGTTTTCTAAATTTGAAAAAACTAGATAAAAACAACCTAAAGTTAAAATCTTGTTTTTCCATGCCCCAAGAGCAATACAAATACTTGGTAAAAAATCCTGACTGAGGTTTTCATAATTCATGCATGAAAGGGTTAATATAACTTATAAATGTTTCGACAGTGACTGTCTCTACAGTAGGTACCAGAATAAAGAATGGCTTGAATATTTGTTAAAAAGGTTGTGTGATAATTTGGACAAGAGCTAATATAAAAGGTTTTCAATACCACAAATAGAATCATTAGTCTGTTTACAGGTCTTGGGGGAATAACACTATTTGTATAAACATTTGCAAACCCAATTTTTGTGGATTCCAGAGGGAGCTGTGAGGAATCTGCATTAGCTGCTGCTAGAAAAACAACAAACCAGATCTCCAATCAATCTGATGGCAGCCCACTAGCATTGTGGGTAATGTATGACACGTCTTGAAAAAGGCAAATTAGTGAACACAAAAAAAACTAAGTACAATGCTAAATCAGTGGATCACTTTTAAATAAAACATCTTAAATGTTTCTATGAAATGTTGTTTATTCAGATATTGAGGAGGCTGCTTCATTTTGTAAGTCAAAGATGCAAATAAAAAAATGATGCTTGGAAAGGTCAAACGTGTTAAAATAGTGAATAACATTCTTCCCATCAGTCTCCCTCCAAATACTTTCATACAGTCCCTAAAGTATGATTTAGCTTTAGCTTATTTAGTTTGGATCCTGGCTAAATATCATTATAAGGCTTTTTAAAATCCACCTATAGACTTCAGATAAAATGCTCGATCATGTTTTACTTTCAAATAAATACCAGGTAAACACAAAATACACGCATGTCCACCTGTAAATCAGGCCTTATATAATAAAGCAGACTATGTTCTTCAAGTAACAATGAAAGCAGGTCACAATGACACGAGCTGCACAAAGGCAGCAGCAGGGCTCTCCGTGCAGGTGTGTACATAACATTATTATTTCATCATGTATACACAGGCGCTAAAAGGTATATGGTTGCCGGTTGTTGGTACCAAACAAAAGGTAAAATAGCAAAAGAGGATGAGGACAAAGGAGAAAGACTCGGATAGAGTAAAGGAGGAAGAGGAGGGGGGATTCATTAGCCTGATGCCCGTCTTTGAATTCACTGGCTAAATTGCCATAAGCAGAAAAAACAAAACATGCAGCGTGCATCGGATTTCTGCATTCAGACTTACTTAGTAAGCGTTTTACACCTACACACAAACGGGGGAGGAAAAGTGAACATAAATCACTGACCTTTTTAATCCAATCTCAAAACAGCCGGAGCGTGCAGGGTTTACGCATTGTTGTTGTCATGTGTAAAAATCGTCAGACGCGGAAAAAACACATCTTTTAACCACGATGTGTGCGCAAAGGTGGGCCGTTTGTGTAAAATCCGATATATTATGTGTGCAAGCAGGAGAAGCGGTGGTGAGAAGCGGTGGTGTGGAGCCTGGATCCAGCGCAGTGTGCGGGAAAGATGGATGGACGGCGGGCTGGAGGAGGGTGTGTGTTTGTGTGTGCGTGTAAGTGAGTGCGTGTGTGTAATGAAAAGTGAAATCTGACAGGCGACGTGCTGTGGGAGAAGGAGGCGGAGGCTACATCATCCTCCTAATCTCACAAAAGATTAAACTACTGTTTGAGTGAGTATTTATGCCCTGGTGCTGGGATCACATCCGATGATAAAAACTGGTCTTCCAGTCAAAAATTAGCACTATTATGTCATCAAACCGGAAATAGGAGCCAACTACTTACAGCAAATGATCCGAGAAAAAACAGGGTACATTAGGTCATATGTGAGAGTGACCTTCTGATTTATTGATGATCATGAAATAAACACTCAAATATTCAGAGTCACGTGATGGGTTTATTTAATAGCAGGAGTGCGCCATCAGCTGGAACACTGTAGTAACTACAAAAATATCACACAAAAAAAACGCCAGATAAAGGATTATATACAATAGACAAGGATATATCATTTAAAATAAAAAACAGTTGAAAATCAATATCCCATGACACTCAAAATGTTTGCCTGGAAAGAAAAAGAGAAATGAATATTAGAACAGACAAAAAACAAGATCATCCCTAAAAAATCTGCCCAAGCATTCATCTCCAATGATTAGCAGATACAATATTCACCATCTCAGAACGCCAACATTTGCATTACCTTTATTGTTTTAAGTCAAAACACACTTTAAAAATGTGTTTCAGTTACATAGTAGTATTCGTTTATTTGTCCCCGAGGGGAAAATGGGTTGCAGCACATCACAAAGGCATTTAAAAAAGATACAGACACAGATTAAAAGGACAGACATAAAAAACAGATATCGGCAGACATCTTTGAGAGAGAGGGGGGGGGGAATAGTGCGTCCTAGCCATCAATTAATTATACAATTAAGTTAACCGTTTTAAAAACAGACAAGATTTATTTAGGCCTTGTTATGCCACAGTGAGAAAGGAAATTTAGAGGAAACATGACTTGCAGCAATTGGTCCGGCCAAAAGATCACCACGTTAGCATCAATGTGTTTAGAGCCCTATCCACTCTGCTTTGGGATAACCCAATATTTTTATTTCTTACAAAATGTATTATAAAAGCAAAACAATTGCATTTCATGGGTTGAAAATGGCTCCACAAGGCAACTACTGACTTCAATAAGCCCTGGCAAGGCAAATACTGACAGAGTTGACCTGTTGGGACTTAGTCATGAAATGTATATGTATTTTAAAAAGAAACATGTTATAAACATTTAAATATTGCACTGAAGACTTGGCTTACCTTCATGAAAGAGGGATATCTCTTTCCTGTCATACCCTCAACTTGTATCAAATCGTCCAACTGCAAAAAAAACGTACATAAAGTCAACACATAAAAGCTGAAATCAGAAGAAATACTTAAGGGGACCTATCATGCAAAATGCACTCTTCATGTCTTTTATACATGAATGTGTGTCCCCGGTGTGTCAGAAAACACAACCCTCTCTTTTCCTCCATACCCAAATCTCTAAAAACGGGGCTGCAACGGATCTGATACAGATTTGAAATATCTCTGACGTCAGAAACGAGGAGCTCCGCCCATTGCCGTTCGAAAGCGCTGGAGACGCTGTAGTACATATGCCAGGCCTGTAGGTGGCGCTGTAGTCTGCCACAAAAGCAGCAAAGACTTCTCACAGATTCAGCCCTTGCTAAAACAGGGCTAAAAAAGAGCAAATAGAGCGAAATGAGGCATGGCTAAAATGCATGATCTGTTTGGTATTTTGAAAAAAAAACTTCGCAGACATGTTTTATGGCCCTACAATATATTGTTCAAATATAGCATGATAGGTCCACTTTAAAGAACCCGTGAAGTGTGATGATCTGTTATGCCAATACGTATAGTAATGACCAAAATTGTCCATTGGAACCCATATCAAAAGATGTTGGAATAGCAACGAATTTGACGAGTTTTGAATTTGCCGCAGGGAAATCCGCAGTTGACCTCCGCCTTCGTGGGCGTGGCTTGCGATCTACTGCGTGACGTCACGAGATGGTTGCCGCCGAAGTGTTTACATTCATCACAGTTTATTGTTTCTCTGTTTCAAAGCCGAATTTATCAATGTTTTTGAGCGAGTATTTTACTGGAAAGTGTGTCGGAGTCGACTGGAAGTGATTGCCAATCGAGAAAACCTGACAGTGAAGAAAAAGGGAGGAAAAACACACGGGAAGCGATGCATTGCCACTGGCTGTATTAATGTCAAGTCTGCCGAAGCGATGTTTCTGTTCCCAAAAGATGAAGGTGAGCCTGGCTGGTGTCGAAGCGATGTTTCTGTTCCCAAAAGATGAAGGTGAGCCTGGCTGGTGTCATTGTTTCGTTGATTGTTCATGACAAATAAAGGCCACTGGTCGATTCGAGAGAGAGAGAGAGAGAGAGAGAGAGAGAGAGTTACAGGGTTGTTGTTAGCATCTGGTGCTAGCTCGGAGCTAACGGAGATTAGCTGTTTCAACAATAAGGAGAGGGAGAGTCCTCTCCTGTGGGACTGAGAGAGATAACGTCAGCTCAGGGAGGTAAAGGACTCTGAGTGATTAGATTGTAAACTGTAGCCTAAGTTATCTCAGTGGGTTTAATAATTTAATAGTTTAATAATACTCTAGCACATGACATGTACATAAGCTAATTATTTCCCAGAGGCTGAGCCCAAGCAGAGATTTTAAACAAGGCAAAGGACCCTTCAGTCTTCACGCCCCCCCCCCTATTTTCCAATCGACAGTGACAGCACAGTCACTGCTAACCTGCTAACCATTCAGTGTTCTGTAGCCGGTCAATGTCTTCCCCATCGTCCATGTCGTCGCCATCATCCTCCCCACTTGACGTCCCTGACGGCTCAAATCTGTAGGGTTCAATGATGTCCTGCGCTTCCTCATCATCACTTCCATCTTCTGTGCCACTTTCCTCATCTATCCTGTCAAAATCAATCATTTCTCTCGCACTTGTATCACTTTCCAAAGTCTCCGCCATGTTTACAATCACAACAGGGCCCATCTTGTGACGTCACAGCCGCTATCGTCTGCAACTTCCGGTAGGCTTAGACGGCCGATATTATTAAAATTAATAATGAATTAAAAATTATTTTAGCCATGAACAGGCACAATGATATGTAAGGAATGAAACTGCCATTTCATTTTGGCGCAAAAACATGCACTTCACGGCACTTTAAGTATGAGGTATTGTAGTACCAGTTGTAGCTCCACAAACCTTTTTGAATTGACCATGGATCTCCCTCCAGCCCAGGATGAGCTTGGCCTTCTTGTCTCCGATCAGTTGCAGACCCTTCAGCTCTTTGAGCGAGCCGCTGTTCAGAATCTGCAGGATTTTATGTTTGGAGATATCCAGCACAGATGTGTTGATTTGGGACTCCCAGCCTGTCTCTATGAAGTTCTCCTTACCCTCTGGAGGCTGAAGGACAAGAGATAAATAAAGTATTAGTTATTTTGAACAATTGGCATTTTAAATAATCGTAAAAAAAATAGAAATATCTTTCTAACGTTAATTTAATACATTGGAGATCTTGTAATGTCGGTCCAGGCAGAAAACAAATTGAACCTAATGCGCTACTACGTCAGCTTGTTGCTGATGTCTGCAGATGTGTCAGGATAATAAGCGCAGCAGAGTCACGCTCGGATGCTGACCTCAACCTGGTGGAAGAGCTTCTTCTCTTTCTTCTTGGCACAGACGGACTGTTTTTTGACGACTGCATGCGTCTGAAGTGGCAGGATCACTGATAGGGAGGAAACTACAAGAAATTAATTAAAGTTACACAATTATCTGTAAACAGTGAAAGAAGAAACACTTTTCCAACAATGTTGGCTTTAAAACTGTTAAAAGTTAATGTTCGTTCGGGGACTACTGCCATTTAGGAGCCAAAGCTGTGAGACGGGCATCACCGTATCCATCTCACTTCCCAAGCTGCTGAGGGGTTTAAAAAGAACTCCTCCTCATCGTCATTGGATACGTTTTCTGGCTTGAATATTGTAGACGGAGCTCTTGTGTCACGTTACAGCTCACCAATAACTCCAGTGATTCAACATTAGTGAGTGACTCTTGAAACAGAAAGATGCCAAAACCTGAGAATAGATTTTACAAAGTCATTTCTCGAGCAAAACCTCATTGAAGGGTATTACAAAAAAAGATACGTCACCCCTTAAATTAGCATTAATGTGTAACCTTTAAAAATGATATGCATCTGGTCATTTTGGAGGAGAAGTGTTCCTTAAAAGAATGTAGTATTTGATACAGCTATAGTCTTAACATGTTGACTTTTTGCATTCATCCCAATTAGATTACACTTTTATTATACTTCCTACTACTCTTATAAGTGTGGCAACAGGTAATTCCCCCCCCAGGAGCTCCCTCTGACCTTGTAGGGGCTGGACCACGGCCTGCTGCTTGATGCCGCGAGAGGCAGTCGACTGTTTGCTCTGCAGAGGAGCCAAGCTGTTCTTGAAGGCAGACTCCTGTTTGACTGCGGATCTTTCATCAAGCACCTGATTGTACAGCCTGGCCTTGCTCTCCAACTCCCTCTGCTTCTCTTTGAGCTCCTGCAAAAACAACAGTTGGCTATCAAATATCCCTGAAGAAGAGTCAACTGATCAGTATAAAGGTCTGACAGCATCAGCATCTGATGAACCACATACAGAGAGAAGACTAGGTGCAGATATGGGTCATTTAAAGCCATTTTATGCAGGGTAACACGACACCCAGGGTGATAAACTCAAGTTTTGGTGTAGATGAGCTCACCTGGATCTCCTCGCGAGAATCGTCGGGTTTATCTTTGTCTCCGCCGTTCATCACCCGCTTCTCCAGAGCCAACAGTCTGTCCATCACTGACGGTTCTGACGGACTGAAAGGAAGAAGCACACAAACAAATAAGAGGGAACAAAGGAAGACCATTAGGGGGATTTAAAAGCAATCACAAGTCAAAAGCTCAAGCAATACATGTTGACGATATTCACAAACAAAGGCAGCTTCATAAACCTATAAACAGGCAGGTAGACACGGCAGATGTTGCCAAAGGGAGAGCTGCAGAGAGTTGCTTTCAGGACAAGCTGTGAATCTTTGAACACCTTTTTTTTCAGTTGGTGTTTTTCAGATTTGATTTAGTATTTGAAATGTTCTGCATAGTCAAAGTGCCCTGCTCCCAAGGCTGATTGCTTTAAACAAATAGGTTTGCTTGGGCGATCTCTAACCTGTGTAAATGGGCTAAAATCGGGGAACCATCCTGTTTGGTTTTCTTCTCGTCCCTCTGCCTCTTCTTCTGTGGCTCGGTGGCAGACCTCCCCGCCTCCTGTCCGTCTCTGGCCCGCTTCACTGGAGACGAACGCAGAAGGGAAATGAAAAGTTTAGTATTCAGTACACTTGAGCAACACTGTTTGGGGGGTTCTCCAGAGGGCAAAGCAATTCAGATGAAACGGCATCAGTCAGGGATGCAGTGCCACGATTAAAGCCAGGAGAAAGACCATCAGGAATGCATTTAAAAATAAACTACAAAAAAACGTTTAGAAGGAATAAAAAACACTGTTTAAGCTTAGTTACCATCCTCTGGGATGTAACACGGATGCCCCCTATTGGCTTTGGATGACATTCCGTCAGTGCTTCCTCTTTAAAGGCCTATAACAACCCTCTATACCAGGGGTGCCCAACCAGTCGATCGCGAGATGTGTCTAAAAATAGAACAATATTCTGTTTTATCGTTAATGTCCTATAACATAATCTTCCTGTGCCAGAATAATGCACCTGAATGCATCAAAGCTTTGTGATTGGCCGGCGTGACCCCATGTGTCGGAGCATGGCTGGTGGGCAGGGCACTTTTTCGCTGACTTTGTCCGTGTCAACAGGAGTGACAGTCCGCACACACACAAGACCGCAATTATGGCAGAAACAAAAAAGCCCAAACTATATAATTTTCACTCCGAGTGGGAGGAGGATTATTTTTGTATCTATTCCAATTCAAAGTCCATCTGTCTCATCTGCAATGCGAGCGTGGCTTTATCGAAGAAGGGTAATTTAGGAGCGGCATTTCAAAACAGTGCACAAACGCTACGAGACGGAATTCCCTCCTAATTCTGCCCTACGCTCCAAAAGGGGAGGGGCCTGAGAGGACAGCTAAATGCACAGCAGTCCATTTTCACCAGGCCCAACAACAAGAGCAAGGCTGCTACCAGAGCATCTTATCGTGTCAGTCACGTTCTTGCGAAACACATGAAGTCTTTCAAAGACCGCGAAGTTGTGAAAGAAGCATTCATGAAGGCTGCGACGCGCTTTTTGGGGACAGTAAAAACAACAGTAGCATCAACAGGTTTTTGATATAATAAAAACTCAAGTTAGATACCGTTGTTAATCAGCTGTAAGTTTTAGTTTGTTTGAACTTATTCATTATAATTATTGTACAAAATGGTATAAGAATGCAAACTTAAATTGATTATAGTCTATTATCAATTCAGGTTAAGAAACTAGTGTTGCTTTCATCCTATTTTAAAGGCATTTCTTTTTATACTCTACTAAAATGCAACAAAAAAAAGGTTTGATTCTATTAATTTTGTCTTTTTTATTGCACTTTGGCAGCAGATTCCTGTGTAGCTTCAGATCCGAGTTGTCTTATTAGTAAGCCTAATTTATACTTTTGTAGCAACACTATTTTTATATAATGGCAAAGAAAGGGTTCAGAGTCTTTTCTTGTTTTCCTGTGTCATATGTGGCAGCACTGTTCAATGTTTCTTGAAAACATTACCCACTGTAGTGACGTGTGAATAAACTCCAACTCTGTATCAACAACACTGTTGTGTAGCTTCAGTTAAATACTTGTATGTGTGTAGATTAGAAAGAGGTAAGATAAAGGATCTGCAGTATGGAGTATTGATCGTACAAAGATCAGTTTTATACAAGTAGAAGTGTGTATTTACCTGGCAGTAGGCTGTCAGTAATGGCTACGCCTCTCTATTTGGACTGGTAGATCTCGGCAGACTGGCAACTTTAAAAGTAGCTCTCGGTTCAAAAAAGGTTGGGCACCCCTGCTCTATACCAACAAGCAATTAGAATTTTAAAAAGTCAAGGCATTCACACTGAGTTTTACTCACCTGGCAGCGCAGGCACAGCCACAGTTTCACAGATGAAGGGCTTATTGACAATGAGTTTAGATTTGGAGGCGAAATTGAGTGCACCAAAAGTATCAAAGTAGAACTTGTACTCCGGTGCAATGTTGGTGATCATGACAGAGTGCGCAGAGCCGCCCAGAGAGTCCTGCAGCAGCCGGGTCAGTTTACTGTCTCTGTATGGCACACGGACGACGGTGCTGGAGTTAAGAGAGTCCACCACCTTGCTGAGCGTGAAGAGGGAGAGGTTGATGGCCCCGCTCTCCTTCAGGCGGATTCCCTGGTTGCCGGTGCGCCGGTTGTCCTCAGACCCAGCCAAGTCTATCAGGTACAGCTTCCCTGCCTGTTGTCTGTGAGGTGGCGCATGCTGAGTTCGCACAACCTAAATAATTGTAAAGACCAAGATTAGAAGGGGTAAAGACACAGAGGTCAGACAGGATAACTACAGGGGAGCAGAGGGAAGTCCATGATGTGAAGATGGGCCTTTTGGATAAATGTGACACATTGGCCCAGTCAAATAGTCTTGTTGTCCAAGGAAGGTTGCTAATGCTAACGGAGTTAATTAATATGGACTATACAATCAGTTTCAACAATTATGAGCTGGTTTAATTTTCTAATTGCTGAGGAAAGGTGCTTGATGCTTACTTTCCCCCCCCATCTCATTTAGCAGGGTTTAGACTGGGACATCCTTTAAATGAAAATGAATATTGTAGTCCCTCAATTCCACGAGTTAGCAACATGCAAACGACACACCAATTGCACCCGACATCAGACAATTATATGGGCTTATCTAAGTGTTATCGCATGCTCTTAAAACCCTATGATCCACTGGATTCTTATTCGCAGGTCAGTTCAACAAAGAAAACAGCAACTCGTCAAGAGAATTATAAATGATCAGAGTTGAACCCAAACCTTGAGGAGGAGGACAGCATGGCTGCGGCTGGAGCGCTGGTTTATTTTGGTAGAAGCTGTTGTGCGATTAAGGCTGGCAGGTACAAAGTGTTTGTGAAAGTCTGAGAAGGAGGTGATGGTTGTGTGAGTGAGGCCAGGGATAAGGATGTTTTTGTCCTTGTCCTCTCTGATGGGTAAATCCTGGGAGCCTGGCGATAGAAGATCTAGCACCTGAGAAGATTGATAGATTGTTCAGTGTAAACTTTAAAAAAAATAAAAGCACTCGACTAAACAACCACAACAAAGAATAGGATAGGAGAGTTATAAGCGTATAAGGTGAAACTTACTGCCAAAAATGCATACCTTCTCATTGTAAATTTCCAAATAAGACATGCTAATGCTGTAGACCCAGCCTTCATCCTCATTCTTGGCGTTCACCATTTTAAAGACCTCACGAACGGCTCGAGGGATTACGCCCGGCTGATTCAAAGTGCCCATCATAGTGTGAGTCTTGCCTATGAAAGAGGAAGAAAGGAGGAACCACACAAAACATTATTTTTTAAGAAATGTAGATACAAAAAGTAGTGACTGTTAACATATTGTCTCCAAAAAACATTATAAATCAAAGCCGTTTCGCTGGTAATTTAATAATATTTAGTTGTAGCTCACCCATTCCCAACTATAACCCTACAGTTAATGATATCACATACTTTTATATCATTATCAATGGGACACTGGCTGTGATTCTTTTCAAGTTAACAAAGCAACAGTTAATAAGTGCATTAATGTGTTAACAAACCAGCTCCTGTTGGTCCATAGGCGAAGACACTGGCATTTTGTCCGGTCAGTATGTGTGGTAGAATGGGTTTCACTGAGAGGAAAACTTCTTGCTGTGTCGTTTGCTCACCATGAAAAACGTCAAAACTGTTGGACAATATTTAAAAACATTAACAAGACAATCTATAGAAAAAGAAAACATTAAAAGAGCCAAGATGCTGAGTACAATGACCTGTATTTGACTGTTTCTGTAGCATTTCTCCAGTTGATTATTTCCAGGTTCTTTGAGTCCAGGCCTCTCACACACGATCCCTCGTCTTTCTCATCTTGTGTGCCCATGTAGGGTCGAAGACGAACCACAACCCGAACCCTGGAAACCTTCTTGTTTGCTCCATCTGATACTGCCACACGCTGCGCCATGTCTGAACTGCTCAAAGATAAAAAGGCCCAACATTAGACAATAACATTTTAGCCCCTGTGTAAAAGGACAGTATGCTAATGCAAATTGTCTCAAAATGTTCTTACAGGTAGGTTTAAAGTGTATCGGATTTGCCCTTAAATAAAGCAATATCAAGCGTTTTACCACAGTAATGATAGCTTCAATTTGCTAATAACAAGCTAACATTAGCTAGCATCACATCACAGTTGTTTCTCAACACGAAGGTTACTTGGACGTTAACGTTACGGTTAGTCGCTACTTTAACTACTGTTTTACTCATGTTTCGTTAAGCTCACCGATTTGATATGTGGAATCCTTGTTCTAAAAGCGTGTTAATCAAAAAGTATCACTATGAGAAACATTGCGGACGCCGTGTTTGAACAATTGCGAACGAGACCCCAAAATATCTAACCGAAGCCTTTTTTAAATCAGGAGCGCTGCAACCGGAAACTACTGTCAACCAATCAGAACTCGACCAAAGACTGGCGCCTATTTAAAGCCGAGCGACCTTATTTATGAGATGTAATCGTGCATCAAATGTATTATTCATCGGGATGATATATAAACACACATATATAGCTTTTAAAATAATGTATTAATTTGAATAGTGAAGCAAAATACGTGTTTTACAATTTCGGCTGACGTGTTTGCAGCCCTGTTTGCGATTGCGCGCTGCACAGGAAGTCGCACCAAAGGTAGATCTACAAAACACACATATAAACTGCTGCCTGCTATTCACGCTGCTGATTGGACCATCCAAATGATGTTTTAATCAGCGGCGATACTGCGCAGTAAGGAACCCCACAGCCCTTCTAGTCCAAAATGGCGCTATGTTTACGTCTCTGCATAATCGTGTATTATCTCTAGCAAGTCTCATGGAGAACTTAGTGGATTTTATTGACTGGAAAAGATAATTTGACCGAACGTTTAGCTACAAGAGTGACCTACGACAAACCGGACATTCGGTAATGTTCATTTAAGGCACGTTTTTTTTATTGCACTTTGCTGTTAAGAAATAGCTAGGAAATAGCTATAGCTAGGTTCGCTAGCTACCTAAGTCAAATAAGAATATATTACTACTTAATGTGTTGCTTTGTTGACTACCTATCAGTCAGCAAAGTTAACAGCTATCAGTAGGTTGTTAGTTCAACTTTAAGGGCTTGATTGACTGCAAGCTCTCTTTCAGGAACTCTTACCCGACACATCTGAAGTAACTTTCTGTTGCACTGTACTAACATGCATGTTTCTGTTCAGCAGATCTGTGGCTACAAGGTTGACCAGCAGCAGTACGGAGGATGCAGGCGGAGGCCACGGACTCTGCCCTGAGGGAGGGCATAGAGACCCTGGGTGTGAAGGACACAGAAAAACCTGCAGAAAAAGAAGACAACACAGAGAAACAGGGCACAGAGATGACAGCTGTCCCAGGGGAGGTTTCAACGATCAAGGAGGAAAAAGGTAACTTCATTAAGAAAACACATGACAAAAAGACTGAGGGTTGTATAGTATCTGCAGATACAATAACCTTCAAGGCAAACAAAGCTGGAAATAACTTTATTAAGGAATATTAAATAACTATTAAGGAGAATGGATCACATTACCCCATGTGTTACCTTTATAAAAATAGATATATATACTTGGGAATAAAGCTTTAAATGACCTTGTTCCTTCCTACATAATTTTTATTTTATATGTCAGTCAGATCAACCAATGTATTCTTTAAAATGCATCTTATATGGCTCTGGATTTAAGGATGGCAAGCTCTTTTGGTAGTTTGAAAGGAATTTAAAGGCTGCATCTTTTTTTAGCTGGGTTGTTTTTTTGTTTTTTTTAAACCTTTGTTTTCCTTTCCATTATTTTCCCAAGTTGACTAAGAGCTTGAACCTGTGCCTGATATGTAAAAAATGTAGCACTGTGTTGAGTTGTACATGCAATAACTTGTTAGTGCTATAATTGTGGATGTGTTAAACTGATTTTCTACGCATGTTTGCCTTTCAGGTGATACAGATGCAATGGAAGTAGATCAACACTGTGAGGCGCTTCAGGCAGACACGGGGGTGGAGGCTGAAAAGAAAGCGCAGGCTGTTGGAGGGGATAATGAATGGGAAGTTGCGTACAGTGATGAGGAAATTGAGGACCCCAAAAACTGGATGCCCCCTACTACTGAGATCAAAAGACTCTATGAGCTTCTCTCTAAAGGGGAGATGCTGGAACTGAACTTTGAGCCCCTTCCCAGGAGGCCGCCCACTCCTGAACGCACCCCCTCCCCAGAAAGAGAGGACGAGGACGAGTCAGCAAAGGAAAGAGAAAGGGAGGAGAGTCAACACAGGTCAGTAAACCTACTCCTCATCATGTCATCTTTAAGGATTTAGATTTATTTACAGGCATTTAAAGCTTTTTGGAATTTTTCTTTTTTCCAGGCTTATAACTCCGACTGAGTTTGACTTTGATGAAACGCAAGCCACACCAAAAAATGCCTTCATGAACAGACGCAGAACACCAGGTAAAAACCGTTGAGATGTGGTCTTTTAAAACCCTGACAGTATAAGTTAATGAATGAAAGGTGATTGTCTTATGGAAGCACAGTCAAATAGATAGTTAAGTAGTTTGTTTTAGGGACATCCAGTTGACTTTTTTCCCTTTTTTCCCAGGATCTTCAGCTCGCTCCTCTGTGAAAAGGGAAGCTCGGCTGGACAAAGTACTGTCAGACATGAAGCGCCATCGCAAAATTGAGGAGCACATCATGCGTACGGGTCGAGATCTGTTCAAGAGTGAAAAGAAGAAGGAGGAGGCTCTGTCTCCAAACAGCCAGAAGGAGCGTGAGAAGGAAAAGGAACGAGACAGCAACCCAAACACCATCTTCTCCCCGAGACAGAGGAGATACTAAAGTATTCAGAGGAGATGAGGACTTGCCCACAGGCAAATAAGGCCAAGAGCTTTTTAAGGCTTTTGTATGTAACGAGTTTTGTATGTTTTCTATGTGTGTTTTGTATGTTGGCAATAAACATTTGAACCCTGGAGAATGTCAATGGTTGTAGTGAGGGTTGGTGATGTGGATAAAAGTCCTCTGCAATGGTATGTCATTCTGATCACAGTATACAAAGTGTATGAACTTTATGGATAACGAAAACCAGGGTTAATAAGGTTAATGATCACATTTATGCAAAAATAGAATAAAAAAAACATACAATGTTGCAATAATGTAGTTCTGCTCATTAACCTACAATGCCTGCTGTGGCCTAATACACCAAGATAGGATTATGGAGGTTTATCACTATAAATGTAAAATCCTAATTGTGTGAAATTCCTCCTATCAGCCAATTCAAAGTGTCTTTGAGTGTAGTTCCCAACTTTTCCCTAAAAGGAGCCTTTTTCTATCCCCGAGTACAATTATGACCCCGAAATAGCATTAAGATATCTCATAATTTAAGCATAAGAATAACATTGAAAATTGGTTTCTTTAGTTACAGTTCATACAATTTACACTGCATTGTTTTTATTTTACCAATCGTACTTTGTTGATTTAGGTGAGAAGAACCTAATATAGAAGCTTTTGTTTGGGTCACAAATTGTGTCTTTCCTTTGGAGATTTTAAACAAGTTTATATATTAAAAATTAATATAAAATGCAACAACGTTGTCTCATACCTATGTAATACCCAGAATGAACCCATGTAGAGCTGTGGCATCCTTGAAGGACACCTCCACTTTTAGATGTTTGAAATTGAATTGCTAGTAAAGCAGTCATTAGATAGATACATGAAGTGTGGCGCCCTCTAGTGGCTCACACTTGTCTGAAGTTCAACTAGGTTGACTAGATTATTTATAATTTAACAGTCTAAAAAGCTTGTGAAAAAAGAAGACTGGAGGCAGGTTCAGGACAGAGAAGTATATTTTAGCTAGGTTTGAGTAACAATACAGCCTTCACATAAGGCTCAGAAGCATATAGTATAATATGTATGCATAAATATGCATTCAAAACCACAAACCAAATAAATTAATAAATTAATACTTACAAATAAATAACAAGCATTTGTGGAATATACAGTACATCAGTTGAATGGTCAGTATTGTCAAGAAGCAGTACCTTATGAGTTCATGGAACGGGAATGGATGTTCTGTGTTCAACATGCCACAGTGGTCCAGATGTTTTTGCACACGCTGCCCTGTCTAGATGCTTTCGGAGTTGTGTTTTTTTTATTTACCCATTTTGCGGACAGTGAAGCTGCTTCAAACAGAAATGATAAAACTAGCCTGTTTGATCACAGGAGGTTCATAGAACCGGTGGCTCAAAGAAACGGCTAAGTGACTGAAGCAATGCACGAGGTGTAAAAAGCTTTAAACAATTTGACTTAATGGTTAAAACAAAACCAAATGAGAAACATAAGTTGCCATGGACAAATGTGCTGCGTGTCTATCACAAGGGAATGCTTCCCTCCAAGATTTTTCACTTGTTTCCCTTCAAACCTGCAACATCGCAAGTCCCCTGACAAAGATATAAATACTCAAATGTTATGGATCCCTTACTGACTTATTCCAGCCAATCAAATGGATATTTTGAGCATTATAACAACAAACAAACAAAAACACTCATTTCAAAGTGGCTGCTACTGTGCATCACTTCCTTGTATTAAAAAAACAAACACTTTGTCATACCAGTAAATGGAATGAAGTCATATCTACACTAAAACGAGAAGCACTGCCATAACGTCTGTGGGAGATCTGCCAACACTAAGCTGTGAAATGTTTTGTTTTAATGCTGACATGTAATTGTTTAGAAAACGTCTGTGGTAACAGCAGATGTAGAAATGAGACAAAACCTAAAAAGAATCAAATAAAAATTGAAAACCAACATTGAACTAATACTGACATGGAAATCAGGACAATTTTACACTGGCTATGTACACCGGTCACATTTTTCTGTCTGGAGCCTCTTCCTCCTCCTCCTCCTCCTCCCAGGATAAAAATAAATAAAAACCTAAACTGCAAAGAATGGGGAAAAGGGATAAGGCAGCAGAAAACAGTCTTATGAGATTATCTCCCTTCTAAAGATGAGTCAGTCTGCAGGTTGGTTACATTTTGTTAGAGTGACAGTGACTACATAGAGGATACAGATATTAAACACTAACAAGTCAAAATACTGCTTAGCCGGGATTTTTTTCTTTTTTGGAGGTCCTCTTCATTACTAAACTGAATTAGGCCTTCCATCTACAGCAAATGTACTAACATACAATATAATACATTCCTATGTTCCTGCTCTTCCTATACCGTGAGGCAGAGAGGACTCAATTTGATCTACGTGAGGGAAATAGCCACCTATGCTCGCTATACATCCAGGCAGATTCCTCTCAGGTCAGTGCATGTTTCTATCTGTCACAGTGCCGGATGACATCTTTAAATACTGAGAACACTAACACTCCACTAGTTTCCTACAACCTGAGACGCTGAAGTGCTTGAAGGCCGGCCACCAAATCATTTCTCTGTCAAGACTTTGAGTGCAGGCCGCAAACACTTCAGCGCCTTTGAGGCCATTGTCTGTAGCTTTCTTCATATTGCTACTTGTTCCAAGTCTTCCTTTCCCCCTCACAGCT